CGAGAGATAAAACGGGAACTGTTAGACACAAACCTGTCTGCTTCTCTACGCCACTAATTTTCTTTGTATCGACGTCGTCACGCTTGCTCGTAGAATCATCGTAGAACGCACTATCGTTCAAGCTTCCACAACACGTTGATACATTTAGGCGATCCAAACCAACGATCAAAGCTGTCTCTATGATATCGCTCGGTTCTCGTGTCTTTCTCACAGCAGCGAAAGTTTCCCAAACTTTACCGGCTAGCGAGCCTTTGCTCATGTGTGGCACCACGCTCCTCTGCTTGATCGTTTTCAGCTTCGTTTTCTTTGCAACTTTGTCTTTGCTGACTTTCTCGAGCACCACCGATGAACCTAATCCGATTGATATGTTTGTTCGTAGCGTTTCGCGCGAATTCGAACGGCGATCAGAATCCGCTTGACGCTTGACTTCGAAGAATCTCCATTCATGTTTAATAATTACGTTACGATTTGATTAAACGTCCCAAAGAAACAACTCTACTTCTGGGAATTGTATTTTGCAATAATTTACAAGAATCTTTTTTATCTCTGAATGAATCAAGCTGTGAGCCACAATAAAAAAGTCGGGAGACTTCTTGTGATTAAATATTCAATAACAGCGAAACTTCGATTGATAAATCTTATTTCAAATCAGTATAATTTCTTTCCGTTTCTAAGTTGACCTACCATCTTTACCAATAATATTCGCATAAAAATATATTTCACCACGTACTTGAATTCTATTTCAACTTTTTGCTCGTGTTTCCCTCATGAACGTTGCGATAACGATATCGAAACGACGATAACGGAAACCAGAAGATTTAGTCGCTAGCATCATGCAATTAAAAAAAAAAAAAAAAAGGTATCAAAAAAAAATTAAACGTCTATGGAGATAAAATACGTCTGGGAGGAGGCTCTTCGAGCCAAGCGGATTATTAGATATTCACGCGATCTTTACCGTCACCCTTCAGCTTCCGATTGAATCTGCTCCTGCATCTCTCCGAGGAAAGCCTGAAGCTAGCAAAGCTAGCAATCAGGGGTGAGGGGTTGGTGGTTGTCGGGTAAGGGTTGCAGTCCGGTTCCCCCTCCAAGGGATCGCGCAACTGTTGCACCTCGACCATGTGCACACCTCGATGTTCCACCACCGAGAAAGTAATAATCGAGGCGGTTTCTCTACCTCTCGCGGCAACAACCGAACTGACACTAATTTCCCTCGTAGCCGCTCTCGCTTCTTTTCCGCAGAGACTGCTGTTGGTTTCCGGTTAGACCCCACCAAAACTGCTCCCCCGCTCGTTTCACAACCACGTTCACGTGTACGTGTAACACAGGAATATACGGCTCTGTGTGTGACTCTGATTTTCAAAGCCCTCCGGTCTAAACCCTCGAGGGGGCATCAACGACGATCTTCGTGTTTCGAGATATTGATGTACTTTCAAGTTCGCTCTTAAAGGGTAGCACTCTCCTGCTCAGCTTCCCTTCTTCTGTCACCTCTTACAGTGCCGAGAAATACTACTCGTCAAATTCTCCCTTTGTTTTGTTTGTTCTCTGTTGTTTCAGCGGGCGTAGGAACGCTGATAAATAGAGTGATTGCCAAGGAATTCTTTCGACTGGCTCGTCGAGACACCCTTTCTTCCCTCGCTTTGCATACGTGTTTCGTTGGTTTTGATGAATTCACGTGTTTGTACTTGAGAGATGATTGATTGTGATCATATTTTATACACGATACTCTAATTCTTGATGAAGATCATATATGTATAGACAATAAGAAAATAATAAACTGGATAAATTGATGAAATGATTAATTGAACTGTCGCGAGTATAATTTTTCTGTATAATTTAGAAAATTTATGTAAAATTCTTATGTGTATTTTTTAAGCGAATTTGATAACAAATTATGAATACAGCCTGTGTATGAATGCAAATCTATGTGACTAAGATCTTAGGCCTATTTCCGTGATTCCCTCTCCTCTGTTCCTGCTTCCTTCCTCTTCTCTTTCATAAATTCAGTAGCACAACTCGTTTTGCGAAACGTTCTTATCGGGCAAGATTATTGCAACAACGATACTTGATAAAAGCTACCTACACTCCAGTTTAAACGTATGAAATATCCATTATGTATTTCAACATTGACACTGCCCTCTTTAATCTTTTCCTTTTAGACGATTGTATAAATGTTAAAGAAAATATTTTTATTAATATTCATGACGTCACACAATTTAATTAATTCAATGTAGTTACTCCCAAATGTGAAATAATAATCCTCAATGCTTTTATATTGAATCGAAGTATTTTTGTAACACTTGCACATTCTCATGAAATCGTTTTATCAAAATAATACACATCATAAAATAAAACTTATAAAACTGAGAAAAAGATATCGATAAAGAACCACCGAGGACTGTGATGAACAATTCTTCACGAATATATTTGAAATGAAAATATTCGTACGATTAACTTCTTTCTACTTCTTCACCACTGATCGTATGCTTTGAATTATTTTTTAACGAGAGAAAATGAAGAGTTATTATTAATTTACAATAAATATTAAGTTCTTTAGACGAGACAAACAATCGTAATAATAGCTGACGTGTGACCCACGTTCGTCAAGGAACGCTTCACTCGAAATGAAGACAGTAAACTGCGAGATAACTGATAACGTTAACAAAAAAAGAAAAAAAAATATACTTATACGAGTCACATTTACATAATGCAAGTATGCATTACAATTACGACTACAAAGTATAACGTATATAATTGCAAATTGATATAAATATTGTTGTCACGATAAA